AATCGTCTCCCTGAGGATATGGTAGAAAGAATTTTTAAAATAGCTTGGTGGATGAAGGGCTAGGCAGTTGGATCTGCTAATTGGCTGGGGATGAACTCATAGGGTCGGGAAGTAGAAATTGTCTTCTTGTGCTGAGTCAGTTCCTGGGTGGTGACAGGTAAGCTGAGATTGAATGTCAACCCCAGCCTTAAGTGTTTACCTTAACTAATTGAGCAAATGAGCTACTAGAAACCCAATTTTTATTTCAAAATCCTTTAAGTAGAAAATTAATCTTTGAAGAGACTGTGGCATCCTAGGGGCAAGTGCTTAAAGCATTGGCCTTGCTACCCAGAACTTTTAAGGAATAATATTTCCATGATGTGCCTGACAAGTTAATAAAAAGAAACCTTACGAATATCTGCAGCTAGCTAGACACAAAGTGTTTCTCAGGCTTTCTGGAGCAATGTTTCTCAAAGTGTGGTGTGCAGCTCCTCTGTTTAGAATTGGGGCTTAAAAACAATTTAAAAACAACTCACAAAAATAACAAATTAAAATTAAAAACAAAATCAAGATTTCACCCCCACACCAGACTGACAAAATTGGTATTTTTTTAAGGAGGTAGAACCTCTGGAATCACATTTTTAATAACTACCTAATGATTATGCTCATACCTTTTAAGAATCACTGCCCTACAAGGTTCTAAAAGATTCCATAAGACACCTTAGCTCTTGGCTAACTGCAATGGAGATGTCAGAACACGTTTTCATGATCTATGCTCAGAGGTGTGCTGATGAATGTTAATCAAAGTATTCTCCAGGGAAAAAAAGCTTTTAAACTGATAAAGTCTGTATAGCACATAATTTACAAGTACTCTTTATTATAAATTACATGTAGCCAATTCTCAGAGTGGTTTCTTTGATTTTTTTTTTTTGCTGAGTTCTTTTATAGATAACCAACCTATGTTGCAACTGGAGTGAGAATAACTCCAGTATAAATGTTGGTTGACATTTTTGTTCACACTAAGGAGGAAGAGGAAAGTGAGGAAACACATAGCAGATCTTCACTAGTTCATCGATGACATAGGCAGCTTCTTTGCTGACTTGGATAGCAGTTTTCAGCTACCGGAAGAATGTTCCCTAAACTGTGCTATTCACAATGTAACAGCTATTCATACAAAAACAAACATGCAACTTAAGTTTAATGTGCATTTTTTTTGCGGGGGGTGGAGACAGGGTCTCGCTCTGTTGCCTGGGCTAGAGTACAGTGGTGTCATCGTAGCTCACTGCAACCCAAAACTCCTATAGTCATGTGCCACCATGCCCGGCTATTTTTCTGTTTTGTAGCAATGGGGTTTTGCTATGTTGCTCAGGCTGGCCTTGAACTCCTGACCTCAAGGGATCCTCCTGCCTTGGCCTCCCAAAGTACTAGGATTACAGGCGTGAGCCACCACCACATTGGCCTAATATGCATTATTAACATTTTCTCCATCACTTTCTTAGAAGTAAACAACAAAAATCAATAAAGCCCTGGTGTGTAGCATTTACTGATTTCCCTGAGGTAAATATTCCCACTATAGTCAATTCAAGCTACCAGCAAGATGTCATTGAATTCAGACTTGGGACGAGATAAGCAATACTACACCATTATGCAGTATTTCCACCACACAGAAACAACAGACATAAATAACCTCAAGAGTACATATAGGTAATAGTAAAATATTGATGAAGTGATGAATTTTGAGTATTTATTAGCTTTGTTGATAATATGTTCAGTCGTAAATTTATATAATTTTTTATTAGCGTCTGTTTACCAATTAGCTCAAAGAATTCCTGAAAATTGAATAAT